ATGCTCATGATGTCAATCATTGGATTATCTGGTCCAGACCGCCTCCATATAGCTGGAATATTGCTATGTGCGGCGTGAAACAACAACAACAAAAAGTAAATAAAATAAAACTACCCACTGTTTAACCAGTATGTTTCTTGCCGTCATATACCCATGAAGTTTAGAGGCAGAAATAGTCCCAAGTAAATTAGTTCAGATCGACTACAATTGGGATCTGGCTGCTTGTGTCATCTTACCTCCACGTTTTGTTTGTTTGTTTGTTGTTTAACGCCGCACTCAGCAATATTCCAGCTATATGAAGGCGGTCTGTAAAATAATCGAGTCTGAACCAGACAATCCAGTGATTGACATCATGAGCATCGATCTACGCAATTGGGACCGATGACATGTATCAACCAAGTCAGCGAGCCTGACCACCCGATCCCGTTAGTCGACTTTACGACAAGCATAGTCGCCTTTTACGGCAAGTATGGGTTGCTAAAGACCTATTCTACCCCGGAATCTTCACGGGCCTAACGTTGTGGATCTTTGCTTCTGATGTTAACCACTAGTTGTCCGGTAGAAACTCGATTAAGTACTTGTCACAAATATATAGTTGCAGTATGCTGCAGCTGACTGGGATAAAACTACACTTTCTTTCTCTAACTGAGAGGAGGAGATCGGTGCAGGACTGTGATGTGATTTTAGGAGAGCTTCAGCGAACAGAGGGTTTCATTGATCCTGTATTTCAGCGGGTGTTAGCATTCGGCTCGTCCCGATCGTAGATAGCGGAAACAGCCGAGTGAGGTTGGCGTGTAATGTGTGGTCAAGGGCGAAGTAGCTGAATCAGCAATGACGTGGGTGTTTTTTTTCTTCTGTTTTTTACCCCATGAGATTCATTGAACCGGATTCAACACTACAGCGTGTTGTAATTCCGGACTTGACCTTGAATCCGCTTACTCTCCAGACCAGGCATATCCATGATATGGATTTTAAATTATTTTTTTTGAAAGAGGTCGAATAAGGTCGTCTTATCAGTGTTCTATAACGTAAACAATTTTGCAGTCGAGCGACACCCTACTACCTATATGCGGTACAGACATTCGAGCGACACCCTGCTACCCATGTTTGGTACAATCTAGCGACACCGTACTACCCATGTTTGGTACAGACAATCTAGCGACACCTTACCACCCATATGTGGTACAATCTAGCGACACCCTGCTACCCATGTTTGGTACAATCTAGCGATACCTTACTACCCATGTTTGGTACAGACAATCTAGCGACACCTTACCACCCATATGTGGTACAATCTAGCGACACCCTGCTACCAATGTTTGGTACAATCTAGCGATACCTTACTACCCATGTTTGGTACAGACAATCTAGCGACACCTTACCACCCATATGTGGTACAATCTAGCGACACCCTGCTACCCATGTTTGGTACAATCTAGCGATACCCCATACCCATGTTTGGTACAGACAATCTAGCGACACCTTACCACCCATATGTGGTACAATCTAGCGACACCCTGCTACCCATGTTTGGTACAATCTAGCGATACCTTACTACACATGTTTGGTACAGACAATCTAGCGACACCTTACCACCCATATGTGGTACAATCTAGCGACACCTTACCACCCATGTGTGGTACAATCTAGCGACACCCTACTACCCATTTTTGGTACAGACATTAAGCGACACACCACTACCCATATGCGGTAATATCTAGCGACACCCTAGTACCCATGTGCGGCACAATCTAGCGACACCGTACTAGCCATATGTGGTACAATCTAGCGACAACCCACTACCCATGTGCGGTATAATCTAGCGACACTACTACCCATGTGCGGTACAGACAATCTAGCGACACCCCACTACCTATATATGGTAAATCTAGCGACACCCCACTAACCATATGTGGTACAAACACTCTAGCCCCACCCCACTACCCATGTGCGGTACAGACAATCTAGCCACACCCCACTACCCATATGTGCTACAGACAATCTAGCCACACCGTACTACCCATATGTGGTACAATCTAGCGACACCCGAATACCCATGTGCGGTACAGACAATCTAGCGACACCCCACTATCCATGTGTGTTACAATCTATCGACACCCCACTACCCATGTCTGGTACAGACAATCTAGCGACAACTTACTACCCATATGTGGTACAATCTAGCGACACCCCACTATCCATGTCTGGTACAGACAATCTAGCGACAACTTACTACCCATATGTGGTACAATCTAGCGACACCTTACCACCCATGTGTGTTACAATCTAGCGACAACCCACTACCCATATGTGGTACAGACAATCTAGCGACACCCTACTACCTATATGTGGTACAATCTAGCGACACCCCATGTGTGGTACAATCTAGCGATACCTTACTACCCATGTTTGGTACAGACAATCTAGCGACACCCTACTACCTATATGTGGTACAATCTAGCGACACCCCACTACCCATGTGTGGTACAATCTAGCGACACCTGACTACACATATGTGGTACAGACAATCTAGCGACACCTTAGTACTCATGTCTGGTACAGACAATTTGGCGCCACCCCACTACCCATGTGTGGTACAATCTCGCGACACCTTACCACCCATGTGTGGTACAATCTAGCGACACCTTACCACCCATGTGTGGTACAATCTAGCAATACCTTACCACCCATGTGTGGTACAATCTAGCGACACCTTACCACCCATGTGCGGTACAATCTGGCGACACCTTACCACCCATGTGCGGTACAATCTAGCGACACCGTACTACCCATATATGGTACAGACAATCTAGCGACACCTGACTACACATATGTGATACAATCTAGCGACACTTCACTACCCATGTGTGGTACAATCTAGCGACACCCTACTACCCATATGTGATACAATCTAGCGACACCGTACTACCAATATGTGGTACATACAATCTAGCGACACCTGACTACACATACGAGGTATAAACAATCTACAGACAGTTCAGTCATTGACATCATGAGCATCGATCCGCGCAATTGAGATCGATGACATGCATCAACCAAGACAGCGAGCCAGACCACCCGATCCCGATAGTCGCCTCTTACGACAAGCATAGTCGCCTTTTACGGCAAGCATGAGTTGCTGAAGACCTATTCTACCCCGGATTTTCACGGGTCGATTGAGCGACTGGAAGTAATTGATTGGTTGGTTGGTTGGTTGGTTGTTTTACGCCGCACTCAGCAATATTCCAGCTATATGACGGCGGTCTGTAAATAATCGAGTCTGGACCAGACAATCCAGTGATTAATATCATAAGCATTGATCCACGCAATTGGGATCGATGACATGCATCAACCAAGTCAGCGAGCCTGACCACCCGATCCCGTTAGTCGCCTTTTACGACAAACATAGTCGCCTTTTACGACAAGCAGAGTCGCCTTTTACGGCAAGCATGGGTTGCTGAAGACCGATTCTACCCCGGATCTTCACGGGTCTGGAAGTAATTGAGAGACATAATGTATCAAAACATGTTTGTATACTAGGCATTACTGAAATACTATTCAAATCGGTGTTAAACATAGGTGATTCCCAAATTTGTACTTTGTAAGAATTTTTTTTATTTGCTGTTCTTTTGGCGTTCAGTACATTTGTTAACGTTGTCTTGTAAATATTTTATGTCCGTTTTAATTGCCCCAGGTTCTACTTTGATAAATATGAGGTATCAATACTTCTGGGCGAATCAATATTACGTTTGAAGGAATGAAACTTCTAGCGCAGCTAAGAATTGATGCATCGCGCAGAGAGAAGTACAAAGCTCCATCACAGTATATAAGAATTTTGCTATGTTTTACGTATAGATGTGCATATCAGGTAACGTGTTGAGGTACTACACAACTGTGGCACCCATCCTCCCACTCGAGTCCTGTAAAACTGAAGAGCAGGTAGAACATAACTGTCGGATCGGTATTAATATATTTTCCCGGCGGCGTCAGTAAAAATCTTGCCCTTATTAACTACCGTACCGTTTTTGGACCAGTGCAGTACCTGTTCCAAGAAGCAAAGATGACATATGGCCGTCACGGCAGCCATATTGAAAATCCCTTCTTTCCAAACTGTCATTAAATTTAGTATATGTGTGTTAATGTAGTGTGTTGTTTAGTGGGGCACAACGCAATTGTTTAGTTAAGTTTTTGTTTGATATTGTGAACTGACCTTGATTTGTGCTTTGCACGAAGACCATGTATATACTTCAATTTTGTCAATATGTATTCTGTGTTTTGTGAAAGTCGATCTTTACCCCTGAAACTGCTGAAATAATGTAGCTGACACGGCTGTTTCTTGCATTGATGGTTCTACTATACTCACATGAACTGATGTGATTGTTATTTTTTTCTGTCTCTAAAATAAATTTATCAAAAGTTTAAACCAAACGTTTCAGAGAGCATGCAACTTGGCAATCACTTAATTACCTCATTGATTCTTTGACAAGAAAGACGATGGACAAGTATCGCAAAACAGGCAATGAAGATATAGGAAGAAGGTTTTTAAAAAGTGTCTATAGTCACCTTGTGAACCATGTACGAAAGACGTATTTAAGAAAACAACATGTTTTACTTTTCCAATGGACCCGTGAAGATCCAATGTAGAATAGGTCTTCAGCAACCCATGCTTGCCGTAAAAGGCGACTATGCTTGTCGTAAGAGGCGACTAACGGGATCGGGTGGTCAAGCTCGCATACTTGGTTGATGCATGTCATCGTTCCCAATTGCGTGGATCCATGTTCATGATTTCAATCACTAGAGTGTCTTGTCCAGTCTCGATTATTTACGCCGTCATATAGCTGGAATATTGCTGAGTGCGGCGTTTAAACAACAAATAAACAAAAAGTTTCCAATGATCTCCGTCTGATACATGATGCATTTTATTTGCCTGATCAGATACTGTTATCTTAATCGTAACAACAGGCTGCAAACTTGTCAAGGCAAGAGAGCACGTGCGACAGAAGCTGCACGAGCTGCACGAGCTGCACGTGTTGTTTGCCTCTTCAATGCCACGTCAGCTGCTACGAGAGGAGAATCGTGTTGTGTCTTGTCGGGCCCTGAAAACACAATTCGCGATATCGACTTTCACTGTTTGGTTTCCTTTTAAGCGTTAACATTTACAGGAAACATATACTTGGTGAGTATTGTTAAACTTATTGATTTGACGAATACACCATTTAGTTTTGAAATGCACAACGACACATACTTGTTACACATATATTGTTATACAAAAAGTGCGAGTGGCGGTGCTACCGGTAGCGCGTTTCATAGTAACATTACGTTATGGATATAACATTTACAATATTAGCAATTTGACACGTTGTCTTGCTTTTTTCTCTTCAAGTACGCTTATCTGTCTATGTTTGGTCGATGATCTGTCATTATCCGAAGACCCGGGTTCGATTACCGACATGGGTACAATGTGTGAACCGAAGACCCGGGTTCGATTACCAACATGGGTACAATGTGTGAAGCCAAATTCTTGTGTCCCCGTGATATAACTGGAAGATTGCTAAAAGCGGCGTAAAACCATACTCACTCACTTATTATCCATTTCCGCCGCTCACCCTACCTTTCAACCATGAAGATGACGCCACGCTATTGTTGTATTCAGAGCCGATTTTTCACTGGCTTTTCTGAACTAGCATTTTAACAAGTAAATCTGACACAGCTATAGATCAGCAGAGAAATTATATATAAACCACAACATGGTTTTAGTCAGAGAAATTACTCGAATCTCTTGATTCCGGAAGCAGATTTTCATGATTTCTCTGTTACGTAGCTGCTAGAAGCAAATAATACTGTTCATAGCACGCTTGAGTCGGGTCGTGAAAAAACCCGACTCAAAATAGCATGTCCCTTTCACACTACAACAGTAAATTGTATCCAGGGGAAATTACTCCGTTTGAACACATCGGATATTGATAACAACGTAAATCTCCTGGTAAACATGTACTTCCACAATGATACTTAAGGTATTTATGTTTCAAGTTTACAGGTGGCTGTGTTTAAACAGTGTTGTTACACTATGCACGAGTTGAGGATGGCGGCATGCAAGACAAAAGCAGGTTAAGTGGCTTTCATCGGTGTCGTTGCTATTCACGATGAAGATGTTAATATTGCATGATTTGCTTTGTCTACTATATGCACATCTTCCCGAGGCAAGAGAGTTAACTGACTTTAAAAGTCCAGTTTCCACCCTTCCCGAACTAGGCTGGAATTCCTGGGCTCGATCGTAGCGCCACCAGTGGCTATTACGAGTTATGTCCTTTCTATGACTCTCCTATTGACCAATCAGATTCAACCTCTCGTATCACTTGCATTTGCTTCCAACCAAAAGGTGGCGCCCAGTCAACACGATCTGATTGATAATCAAGATCTATATTGTGATAAAACGAGTCTTACATCGCGAAGTGCCTCAAATCACGTGAGCACCTTGATTAAAAGCATGAAAAGATTTAGACAAAATCTGCTGACAACGAGTTAGCGGTGCAAATGCTTTGCAAATCCTGCAGTGGACCGAAATCTGCATGACACTTTAGGAACCTTGCATAGACTCGTTAGTCCAGCCAAAATATAACTCCATCATACCAGCCTAGTTCGGCAAGGGTGGAAACTGGTCTTTTATAGTCAGCTAACTCACTTGCCTCGGGAAGATGCTATATGCAAAATATGTCCTCTATCAATGTGTTGTATGTAAACAGAATTTATCGATTATCGCATTTCACCTCTGCACAATACTATATCATCGGATGGTTCCTCGGTATCTGCGCGTTGTGCTATTGTCTTCACGCAATAGCCCATTCTTAGACTGACAAAGTACGATTTTATGAAATGCAGACAAACTAAAGTTGAAATAACAGTCATTCGATGGACATTGTTGCGATCACAAGGCGAGCCGGCGGTTGGGTATCTGTTATCTGTTGTTCGTTTTGGCCTGGGACCGTTTATCACTTTGCATGTCGCCGCTTCGGCTGATTCGCTACTAAACTACGGTCTAAAACCTCGTTCACTCACTCACTCTTTCAGCTTCTGTCGTCGTGATGATCCTGTCGCTATATATGATCATCCAGGAGCACATCTGGGCTCAAATAACTCCATATGTTAGTAAGTATCTGGAACACTTCTCCACATGTCTACCTTGCATCTGGGGCGGTCGAGTAGCCTAGTGGTTAAAGCGTTCGCTCGTCACGCCGAAGACCCGGGTTCGATTCCCGACATGGGTACAATGTGTGAAGCCCATTTCTGGTGTCCCCCGCCGTGATATTGCTGGAATATTGCTAAAAGCGGCGTAAAACCTCACTCACTCACTCACTCACTACCTTGCATCTCCCCGATGACCCGGGTGGCCCAGTCTCATATGCGCTCCTTGGGCATTCCAGACACCTATAATCGTGGGTTTCGAATCCCAGATTATTTTTATAGGTTTGTCAGGTTTGTACCGAGGCGGTGGAATAGCCTAGTGGTAGCTCGTCACGCGGAAGACTCGGGTTCTGGCCGACATTGGTACAATGTGTGAAGCCCATTTCTGGTGTTCCCGTTATGATCCAGTGATATTGCCAAAAGCGGCGTAAATCCATGCTGACTCTAACATTCAGGTTTGCTAGTGGGCTTCATCACACTGCAGGGGCGGTCGGGTAGCCTTGTGGTTAAAGCGTTCGCTCGTCACGCCGAAGACCCGGGTTCGATTCCCGACATGGGTACAATGTATGAAGCCCATTTCTGGTGTCCCCCGCCGTGATATTGCTGGAATATTGCTAAAAGCGGCGTAAAACCATACCCACTCACTCACTCATTCATCACACTGCAACACACTGGGCTTTCCTACCACATCATAACTGAAAAATATACCCGTTGTTAGAATTGGTCTTCAGCAACCCATGCTTGTCGTAAAAGATGACTAACGGGATCGGGTGACAATGGTAAGCTCGCTGCCTTGGTTAATGCATGTTATCGTACACCAATTGCGTGGATAGATGCTCATGATGTCAATCACTGGATTATCTCAGACTCCATTATTTACAGACCGCCGTCATATAACTGGAATATTGCTGAGTGCGGCGTTAAACAACAAACAAACAACTGAAAAGGGCGTTAAACCACACTCACTTCTTCACGCATTAACATATCCACAGTGTCTCTGGTTGTTTGTCAAGCCGACTGAATTAGGGATTGGATGGTCTCAATGTTTGACCTGATATGGTCTCATTGTTTGACCTGATATTGTCGTCGTTCCCCGATGGTTTAGATCATTGCTTGTGATTCTTCTGGTTTGCCAGACCCTGGCCGACATTATTTAGCTGGACTGATAACACCAGCGTTAAACAACATTCTGTGACCACTCATGTCGCAATCACAGGCATTCTGTAGTTCAGGCCTACATGTACTTTACAGCGTTCTCGGGCACCGTGGAATTGTCCAACCGTGAAATACTATGGGAACCAAAAAGACCAGGTAAGTACATGCGATGTTGATTTTGAATGTTATGCTAAAAAATTAATATCTTTGCGCAAACAATATATATAACCAATTATATGTGGTTTTGTGAATAGAGCGTCTGTAGAGAGAGCGGAAGGTTGGTGGTTCGATTCCCGGTCGAGTCATTCCGAAAGACGTTAAGAGATGGTACTTGTTGTTGCCCTTGGCATTAAGGGGATGAAACAAGGATTGGTCGGTTCTGAGTCAGGACACTGTCTAAGTAGGCTATTTATGTTATACTGCTGCATGTTATCTCAGTGGGCTAGCACTATTACCGATCTTACCAGTACAGCTATCTACATGCAATAATCTTGAACGCGACGTTCACCTCACCTTAGAAATGCCATGCTTATATACCATCAGTGTGAAACCTTATTGACCCAGCAGCATTGGCTGGTCGTGAGAGCCGACAAAATAGACCGCGTGATTAGGCTGAAAGTTGGTCCTCACACCAAGACGGCGTGGATTGTTGCTCATATTATCAGTCATTGGATCGTCTGATCCAGACTCGATTATTTATAGGTCGCCGTCATCTACCTCCAATATTGCTGAGGGCGGTGTTAAACAACGCACGTTTGTATTTACCAGCTATAATAGGAGGGTGTGGTTTGATTAAAGGGGCGGCTCTTCGTATTGTTCACCTTTGCACACATTTATTTGTCTGATGATATGTCTTTGTCTGATGACATGTCTTTGTGTTTGTGAAGCATGTTTAGATTCATGATGAAAACAAGGTATTCCACAGTTTTCTTAAACGAGCCAAGGATGTAGGACATAATGTCAATGTTGATTTTGTTGATGGTTCTGTACTACTGGCTGGTACAGAAATGAGTGTCAACCAAGCGAAGTACCATATCAAATCTGCCCAGACTAAAGGATTTTCAAGGATTTTCAAGGATTTTCGAAATTACGTGCAGTGTGTTGAGAAGTTGTGTGATTTTGCATCAAAACGTAAATTTGAAATATAGCATATGTCTGTGGATGTCCAGCTTGGCAAAAACACACTATCTTAAGCGACATGATGGAATGGCTTGATCATTTTATTACCGTCTTCGCCATGCTTGTGGTTTTGACACAGAGGTCCATCCATGGTACGACCCAGAATATGTAGAGGGCGTCATGGAAAATGATAAATGCAACAGACCTATTCAGGCCCCAAAATCATTTGTATTATTTGAATGTCACGCTTGCATCCCAAGTACAAAGTTGTCCGACTCCCCATTGTTCTCGGTGCCGTAGAGTTTTTTTCCTCCCAATCTGTTGACTGACATTGGGAGAGTACCCGTGTTTGCTGCCAGGAAAACAGCCCTTCTGACAATCTGGGTAATGCAGAAAGCTGCAGTGTTGGGGAGTCTTCACAATCTCCGAAAAGTTCAGGGTGGGTTTGTCTAGGCAGCGCTTCCTGGGAGAAGTCCCATTCGCTGTCTGGGCTGCGTGTAGAGGGGACAAGGGCCCTGAGCTGATGATGAGCAAACCCTTTTTGCTGCATTTTTTAATTTTAATCTGAAAATAATAATAATAATAATAATAATGTAAACAAAAGATGTATTTACACTATTATAATGTTTCAGTTGCCTTAGAAACCGTCACTTTTGAAGCTCTGCTAAAAGACTACACAAAGAAATTGAAAGGTAATGCATGAAAGGTATAATGAACTTCAACAACTATCTGAATGAGGCGATCTTAGTCTTAACATTTAACTAAAATAAAGTAAACTAACGACCGTGAAACGAGCTATAAATTCAGTGACACCTAAACACCAGCTTTTTCCAATAGTACTTCCAGTTATTTTCCAGTGTTGTTGTTGCAGATATACAAACTTCAGGGCTGTGGAGAAAGAATATAGTGAAACCATGCGATGAAGAGATACATCCAGGTATATCATGCAGAACCCCCACAGTATGACAGAATCCTGCATGTATCACAGAACGAACATTGTTTGACAGAATTCACATGGTACGACTGCACCTCGTGGTAAGACAGATGCATACATGTTCGACAAAACCTCATTGTATGACAGATGCATCCATGTACGACATCATCTCATTGTATGACAGATGCATCCATGTACGACAGCACCTCATTGTATGACAGATGCATCCATGTACGACACAACCTCATTGTATGACAGATGCATCCATGTACGACATCATCTCATTGTATGACAGATGCATCCATGTACGACAGCACCTCATTGTATGACAGATGCATCCATGTACGACAGAACCTCATTGTATGACAGATGCATCCATGTACGACATCATCTCATTGTATGACAGATGCATCCATGTACGACACAACCTCATTGTATGACAGATGCATCCATGTACGACATCATCTCATTGTATGACAGATGCATCCATGTACGACACAACCTCATTGTATGACAGATGCATCCATGTACGACACAACCTCATTGTATGACAGATGCATCCATGTACGACAGCACCTCATTGTATGACAGATGCATCCATGTACGACACAACCTCATTGTATGACAGATGCATCCATGTACGACACAACCTCATTGTATGACAGATGCATCCATGTACGACAGAACCTCATTGTATGACATATGCATCCATGTACGACACAACCTCATCTTACGACAGCACCTTATGGCCGGTCAGCATCTCATGGCAGGACACATCTCTAACGGTACGACATAACTCTCATAACAGGACAGAACAATGAAGGTATGACAGAACCATCCACATGTGACGGTCTTATGGCATGACAGAGCTATCCCTGTGCGACTGAACCGTTAAGGTATGTCAGAACCTCATGATATGACAAAGCTCACGTTACGACAGAACCCTCAGGGTATAACAGCTCTCATAGTATGACAGGACACTTATTGTACGACAGCATATCATGGTATGAAATTGCTCGGGTATTGTTGATGACGGTGATGTGACCCTCACATATCCCCATAGGCAACGCTCGGGGGAGTTTGGTACCAATTCAATGATTTAGGGGCATAATCTGTCGCTCGCTCTATGTTCAGTAAAGTGTATCCCAATCTGTATTAGTTAAACCGGTGTGTAAGTACGTTCATCTCGCTATGTCCCCAGGCTGGGCTTGTGTTGAGTCCTCCTGTCCTCGACCCCAGCCTACAACACCCGAGGACAACCTTAGAAGTGTCTTGTCCACCATGTCGGACCTCAACCACCAGCATCTCAGCCTCATGCTGGGGCTATTCCCAGAACCCCCCTCGGGCAAAAGAGTCATGTTCGTCAGTGCAGCGTCCAAAAACCACTACCATGAGTCACAGGGTCTGATGAGGAATCTCCATCAGAACGTCTTCCCCTACATCAGCAACTACACATTCGTGTATTACGACCTCGGACTGTTGCCAGAGCAACGTAAAAAGGTGAAAATATCAATGGATCTTCAAGAAAGGTCTGATTGTAGGGACTATCCAGATGTTTGTATTGTGTTAAGTATTATGGACACCGGTGAAAACTATATCTCCCGGACGCCTTGACATGCACGTTGAAACAATTGACCAATATGTGATCAAATAGTGAATTATTCGTGACACCCGGTGTACCCTGATCAAGAGAGTTTGCGCGATTGTATCTCAAAAGTCGTTGACATTGGACAATTATTCAACTACATATCATATCGTCCATATATCTAAAGCATAGAGGGCTGTCGGGTAGCCTAGTGGTTAAAGCGTTTGCTCGTCACGCCGAAGACCCCGGCTCGATTCCCGACATGGGTACAATGTGTGAAGCCCATTTCTGGTGTCCCCCGCCGTGATATTGCTGGAACATTGCTAAAAGCGGCGTAAACCCTCCCTCCCTCACTCACTCACTCACTCACTCACTCTAAAGCATAAGTTAAACTTCTTGGTCCAATTCCTGTGTTTTCAATTTGCCAAATTGAATCGAAGCAATTATTCCGATTAACATATGCATACAGAACCACATCAGCATGAAGGGGAACACAACTGACGCCCATTGCGATGCACTGCCATTTCACAGAGATGTTATCTGTGGGAAGTCCAGCATTTCACGACTGTTTGCTCTGGCGCTCGGCATTAAGGGGCCAAACAAAGACTGGTCGGCTCGGAGTCAGTATGCTGTGTCTGAGTGGGGTTTTCATGTTTAACTGCGGCTAGCAATCTAAATCGGCATCAGTCAAGCAGCCAAACACACACACACGTGCATTCACGTCGCTATATAAGTGGAATAAGCTTAGACGCGCCGTTATATCCAGTTTCACCTCACCTCGCCTATTAATACGAAGTTGACGAGAAAGGACAGAAAGATGTTTCTAAATCACGAGGTTGTTTCAGTTTCAGTTTCTGTTTCAGTTGCTTTCCTTAAATCTTTTTCAGATTGAAAAACATTGTCGTTGTGAAGTTCGGAAGTTCCCACAGAAGTACATGCCGCTCAGACTCCAGAACCTAGGCTGTTTCGCGTGGAAGCCGTTCATTATACAGGTACTATAACTGGTGGTGCCCGATTAATGGGATCGTAGCTCATGACTTTAGTCACTGGTTTGCCGGGATCTTATTCGAACATTTACACCTGAGACAGATGAAATATTGCTGACTGCGGCGTTAAACAACATTGGTCTACTCTCTCCGGCCTTCATATAGCTGACAGCAGTCGGCACAATAATGAGTGGATCATTCAAGAGTTGACGGCAATCGGCACAGAAATAATGCGCCTGTGACAGCAAATGCTGAAATGACAGTTTGTATTGGGAGGTAGTCGATAAAACTGAACATGCATTCTCATATTACACTGTAAGATGGCCTATGTTTTTTCAGAGACAAAACACCCCACGATTTTATCATATTCTAAACAGCCGGATGGTATACACCATTTCTTTTATGGTAGCAAAATATGAAAAGGTAAATGGTTATTCGTTGGTCTTGTAGTTGATACGGTTATCATAGGCGATATTACATGCATCACATCAATTAGTATCTCGTAACGAGTAAGCCAAGTAACGTTTTGTAATTCTTTTGGTTAAATCCAGTCATCATCTGTATGCTTTCTTTTGCCCTGCACTTTAGACTAGATTAATAGTATCAAATACGAGTACATCATTTTGATAGAGAACCTTCCCAAGAATTCCCCCATTCATTACTGAACGATTCTAATGCAGATTTATCATCCAGGGACATGGTTGACCCAGTCGTCTACAGCGCTGCAATTCACTGTGCAGAGTTGCGTCCCTTGGGCATGCTAAAACACTTTTGTTTATGATCGTGGGTTCGACTCCCTTTTCGCCCCGATTATGTTTCTAGTTTTGTCAGCACCACACCCGTCATGGGCGGATACAGCTTTTTGGAAAAGGGGGGTGCACAATTAAGATCTATTTATTGTTTTTTGTGGTAATTTATACAGAAATAAACTTTTAAGATTTTTTTCGAAGTAAAAAGGGGTGGGATGCGCACCATGCCCGTTCTTGTGGGTTTCTCCAAAGTTGTACACGTCTAAGGCCTGAATTAAGATGATCCTCCTTGATATAACTGGAATATTGTTCAAAGCAGCGTTAAACCAAATTCAGCCATTGGAATATTGCTAAAAACGGCGTAAAACCATATTCACTTATTCACTCAATAACATTTCATACCGATATTTTAGGCTAACCTCCCAAAGACAGAAATATTGGTGTGGGTCGACTCGTGCGTCAGGTTCTGGAACAAGACCGTTCCCCACCTGCTGAAAGACGTGGAGAGACGAGGCATTGTCACCTTCGGCAGCAACTACTCCGTTGCCCAACACACAATGAAGGAAACGGTCGCCTACATGAAGGAGGACACTTGCAGTCTGACTCCCGTCCCAGAGGATCAGGGAGGGTTCCTGCTATTCCACAACGAGCAGTGGATACGAGAGGCAGTTATCAAACCCTGGGTAGCATGTGCTATGAGTTCCAAGTGCATGTGCCCTCGACATTCAAGTCACATGAAAAGATGCAACGTCAAAGTCCGAAAGTACAATAAGTGTCATCGGTTTGACCAGTCGGTAATCAACATCATACTACACAAACTGTTTCGCGGGCACGGACGTAGCTTTTACTCCCCATTCAACGAGCGTCCAAATGTGACGTTTGCACGTGGAGGGAATGATGACTATTTTGGGGAACTTGACAGATCTTCACACATCATATGTAAAACACTGGGAATCAGTGGATGTTAAAGTTCAGGTACATCAGCCTTACTGCATTGTTTAGTTTAAGGACCAGTATTTTAGGACCAATTTTAATTTGATTTTTTGTTATTAACATTATTGACATTGTGTGATTATTTTTATGTACGCAGAGATGATGATTTTTCACCGTTATATTATTTTATTACGTTTGACGGCATGTGTATATTTTTTGCTCTTTGTTATATTGTTGTTATTAAGCTCTGAGCGGAAAGCAGTACTTGTCCATGGTTGTGTGACTTGATGTTTCATAGGGGCTTGGTGGCCCTGTCGTGGAAGAGTTGCGTCCCTTGGGCACGCGAGCAAACACATGATCGTGGGTTCGAATTCCGGTTCGCCCTGATTATGTGGTTTGTCAGCACCAGACCCGTAGGTTTCAACAAAGTGGTAAACGTCTAAGAACTGCATTACTTCGGGATTTCCTCCCATATTAAGCTGACACGCAGTGACATGGCTGAAATACTGGTCGAAGCGGCGTTAAACCCAACTCACTCACTCACTCTGTTGAAACATCCGTGGGCGGTGCCCGTGGGGTAGTCTAGTGTTAAATAGCTCCCTTGTCACCAAAGGTTTCGATATCCCGTAGCTGGTACAACGCGTGAAGTTAAACCAACATTAAAATGTTATCGATTTCACCCAAACTTTGTTTAATTGCTAGATGTTGTGGTATAACGCTTGTAGGTTGACCTTAAGAGACGCTACAGGGGATTGTAACAAAAACATTAGCAGCAACAAGATGAACACACCAAATTCATTCGAAGTGAATTCAATCATTTACTATAAATATCCTTCTAAAATTATACACTCATCTCAAGCCGATACATTTTATCACATAATGAGATACCGATGGAAGCAGACGACAAGCATAGTCGCCTTTTACAACAAGCGTGGGTTGCTGAAAACCCTGTCTTACGCATGAAGACCAAGCACCCAACATACCTCTTAATTTGTCTTCGCATCCAATTTAAGAACACTTGAGTCATATCAGTGTACACGGCTGGTACAAGAAAATTAGACTGGGATTCTCACATAGAATGCATGATCATGCTTGCTGATCGACATCATCTCTAACTCCAGGGCTAGCATTTCAGTAAACCTACTCATTATTTTATCAAGATCACGTGAACCAATCAGATCTCCTCATTCTGACATGGGGGGGTATGATAACCACTGGATCCATTACAATATCAAATTACCCGCCCCTGATTTCCATGTGCCAATTTGACAGTTGATCAGTGACCAGGCTAGGGCTGGGACGAGTCCAAATGTACTACCCGGGTACCCACCCCGCTATTACCCGACCCTACCCGGGTACCCGCTACAGGTCTCAAGAGTTTGGTACAAAATGTCCGATTGGAAATAGTTTGAGCGTAGCGACTAACGGGATCTCGCCCAGGGCACACGTCCAACCAAGCTCTCCAACCTCCAAGCTGATAATGAGAGACCTCTCAAAATCACTTCCGAGGGAGCTTGTCTCCATCCTGGGGCCCTTGCTGGCTTACCGGGTTGGGGACTACTCCCTCGGGACTTCCTATAAGTCCAAAACCTCTACCCTCTCCATCCCCTGCCCCCCCCCCCCCCCCCCCCCCCGGTGCTAAAGGACAGGCCACCCAGGAAGAAGACCACCCCCCCCCAGTCCTCGACATGGAGATTGAGGAGTCCCTTCCTTCGGCCCCGCCCCAGTAGCAGCGCTGGAACTCGCTCCCCTCGAATCCAGAGGCGAGGAACCCTTCCGCTCACCTGAGGGGACGGGCCACGGGAGGAAGGAGATGAAGAGGAGAGACATCCCCCTTCCCCGAACCAGCCTCCCGACCAACCACCACCACCGCGTCAGCAGAGTCCCAGACATCTACGCCAGCCCTAAACGACTCCGGCGCCCAGACAACCACACCAGAGCCGACATCCCTTAGCGAAGGCCAGACCCAGACCGATCCGGTCGAGGTCCCTCAATGGTAAAGAGCTATCGGGACGTCCTAGTGGAAAAATCAGACATTCTGATCAACCACTACAAGGCCCACCCGGACCTCCAGGCTGAGCTGGTCAACTAGTGGAACAGCTCTACGCCAAAGGAGTCCCTTTCATCATGGTGCACAAGAAGGAGGGGACAGGACATCGAGTACGTCAAGCTTCACAGACTTGTACCACTTCTTCCAGAGTAGTGGCGTACCGTCCTCAAACCACTTCATCGCCAATACCGCCGCCCTCCTTGCCAAGAGTCTCTACCAGAATCCCGACCCCCAGGAAGTGAAGCTTACCAAGAGACTACTTCAAGGATACCGCCGCTAGACTTCTAGCAACACATGCTCGCCAGCCGACGCCGTGCCTTCCAACGCTTGACACCCCCCCCCCCCCACACACACACACACACCACCCATGCCCAAACCTTTCCACATTATTGTATATTCTTTTATCACCCACTCCCACCCAGCCAAACCCCCATCCCCCTTAGCTTTATTAAATTAGGTCCGTAAAGTTTATATTTTGGGGGGTTGCACTTCTTTATTTATTCATTACGCTTTTTTCCCCCAATAGTATAAGTGCAACCCCGTGTGCGAAATACGCTAATAGTCGGAAAGCGCCCGTTAAATCTCCAATGTGATGATGATGATGATCGGGTGGACGGGCTCGCTGTCTTGGTTGATGCTTGTCATCGTATCCCAATTGCGTGGATCGATGCTCATGATATCAATCATTGGGTTGTGTGGTCCAGACTCGATTATGTACAGACCGCCGTCATATGGCTGGAATATTGCTGAGTGCGGCGTTTGTTCTGTTGTCTATTCACAGTCGGCGCCTATTAACTGCACTTTTCGAGGACATAATGTTCAACACGATCTATGTCAACATACGCGCAGTGAGGTGCCACCGGGACAAAAAGAATAATACACCTAATGTAGTTTCAATACATAACACTGTGCTCAGGTCGTTCAGCTTCAGGTATATCACGGTTATCCAGTTCGGCAATGGACGCAGCAACAAGTATAATATCAACATGTACCTCCAACAATAGTGGCCAAGGCGGTTGCGGTGCTTTCAAACAAGAGGGCCGCCATACAAAACTGATCCCGCCAACTTTTGCCAGAACACAATTGTCACCAAGACAATTCGTCATCTACTTCATGAAATATAGACTCCGATATGTCGGGAATGTTGAAATTTGTATAAAATACATATTTCACAACTGATATATCACAGCTTGTCATGTGAGTTATTTGTAAACAGGTCAAATGTGCAAGTTTACACAAGTCGGCGGACCTTGTTGTACAGTGCAGAGGATTCGGAATATTGGTGTGAAGTCTCGTGTCGTACGTTGGGGACATAACCAACTGTTACATCATGACAAACTTCCGTGCAATATTGCGACGCAAGCATAGACAAGGTGAGACGCAGAATGCCCGTTATCATGGGACCATTAATTTCTTTTTTCACGGGTACACTCTCAACCATCACATGTTTAACAAAGGTGCAAGTGTCGTCATTGACAACCTGTTGAGGTTTGTCATTAATAACGCCTCTAAAGCATATCTAAATCCACATTATCCACCTATGGCATTATTAAAAAACTTACGTCAAAACTGATCACATGAATTATGCCTGGTTTAGGCAATGATGATACTAACCAGCATTTGTAGTATACTTTTTGTTGTTAAGATGTCATTTTGAAGGTCCCGATCCATAAAGTGTTCGTACCGTTACGAGCCTTCTTAACTATGTGGTTACTTAGGCGTAGGGCTATCCCAGTGCTACGAACACTTTGTTGATCGCGCCCAAGGAGTACAGCAGTGCAAAAAGCAACTCTCTAAATAACCCCCGAGGGTGAGAGTGATAAGCGAATGGGTGGATAAAACCTACATGCCTACATTGACCCGTGAAGATCTGGGGTAGAATAGGTCTTCAGCAACCCATGCTTGTCGTAAAAGACGACTATGCTTGTCGTAAAGGGCGACTAACGGGATCGGGTGGTCAGGCTCGCGTACTTGGTTGATGCATGTCATCGATCCCAATTGCGTGGATCGATGCTCATGATATTAATCACTGGGTTGTCTGGTCCAGACTCGATTATTTACAGACCGCCTCATAAAGCTGGAATATTGCTGAGTGCGGCGTTAAACAACCAACCAACCAACCAACCATACCTACATTAATCGAGATATAACTGGTTTCTTTACCTAAAAATATAGTAATGGAGAACCCCTTCCGTTTCTATGGGGGTTTGGGGGTGTTTTGTTCCCAGCTGGATCCAACAAACTCTTTATTTACAGAGCACAATCAAACGATCTGTTCATTTTCACTATTTAAACAAACATGTGACGATTGGGTAATTTCCACGAAACAAACTTTTCATTGTTTTCACTACATGCAATAAACTAAACATTTTGGGCATATTACTGAATATACCATTCATTTAATGAATCTCTCCCCTCCCGTCTTAGATCTTAGAAACAGTTGAATGCTCCCCATCTGTAACAGAGTTTGTTTTATTTTATAAGAAATTAGTTGGGGTTTTTTAAATTAGTTGTGTGTTCATTCTCAGGAAGATGAAAGTTCGTTAGAAGTTGTGCCTGGTGAATACTTTCTTCATGTACTATGACACTGATGTAAATACGTTGTAGTTTAATTTTTTCTAAAGAAACTGGTCGTAGGACGCTTGAACACCAACTGTTAAAATGAGAGCCTGAGCCCGCCAAGGCGTCTTCCCACGTAGTTGAGAAAAGTGGAATTAATACGACGTCGATTCTCAAAAACCCAAAGGATTTGCTTGACTTGACAGTTCAATTCTGTCAAGGATTTGATTTTTCAAATTCGTAAACCACTATCCCAATTGACAAACTTAAGGGAAAAACTCCATTCATTGAGCAATGGGGCTTTTGTTACAAAACGTGGTGACCATAGATTTGTTACATTTCTATCTAAAAGGTTCAGTGCAATTTGTCTAAAAAGAAAGCAATGCTATCTCAAGTTCGCTGAGAAAACAATATGTGAAATGCCGGACTTCAATATTCAGGCATGAAATCGGCATCCCAGCGTGCTCCCATTTCTGCTGATCTGTTTCTTTATGCATAAGAATCGGAAATTGGCCAAAACGTTTGGCTTAGCTTCAGGTATTTCGATGGTTATGATGTCGTTCAATAACCATTAATTGGCCAATTCCCTTCCACTGATTTCTCACCTAAACTAGAAATATAGGAGACCAGTGAGAACGTCTCATCTGTTTCATATTTAGATATATGCATAAAGATTGACAAGACTGTTGACAAGAGGGATGACTTCAACTTTCCAAACGTCAGCTTTACCTTTATGTCGAGCAATATTCCTGCAGTTCCAGCCCTTGGTGTTTATATTTCACATCTCTCGCGATACATTCGAGCATGCTCTTTAGATATATGCA